TCTCTAATATTAATCACGGTGTGTCCCGCTTTTGGACGTTGGGGGGGGGGGGTTGGAATGTCTGACATCGGTCACCGGTTCTGCGAAATGCCTAGGCAATTAGGTGGTATATGCCAGGTTCTCGAAAATTTTCGTTTGAAATTTAGCGAAAATGGTGTTAGTCCATTTAATCCATTTTACAAAAAAATAAACGCTTCCATTCAAATACCTCCTTCGAATAAACCCTTTTCAACAATTGCATAGGGTGTCTATTATTACAGTAAATACATTATAATTTCAGCGGTGGATTCTAGGTCTAGGCAGGCCCCAAACCCTAGGCTAGGCCTGGCCTAGTGAATAATACAGGAACTTGTATTCGCCAGGGGATACAAGGCGCAATCAAAATACTGTAAATAAAAAAAATAACCAATTGGGGATCAACAAAGTCAAAATAAATGACAAAAAAAACCCAGAAATTTGGACAGGTAAGTGAGATTTACTTTGGGAAACAAAGTTTCTTGAGAAGCCGACGAAGTCGATGCATTTAGGTATGGCTAGACTTAGGCCTTGTTTTTTGACAAGCCTGGGCACACCTACTACTAGCCTTCTCCCTAGCCCACTTAATTTTTTTATTAGGCCTAATTATTTCAAACACTTAATTTTTGTATTATTTGTAATGCTTATACGCACCCCCTCCCTTTCAAAATTGTCAATGGTCACTAAAGAGTGCCCAAGTGATCTCAAAATTTCATCCATTTTCAAATAGGCCTTGTTGACACTGTTCAAAAAAGCTGTGAAACTTTAATTTAAAATAGAGGGCGTCCACTTGAGTTTTGCACTGCCATTGATTGGAGTTTTGCATTGCTACTCTCAGTTTTGCACTGCCACTTGAGTTTTGCACTACTGACTCTCAGTTTTGCACTGCTGCCGCTTGTATTTTGTCCTTTTGGCGTTTCATACGTAAGAAATACGTTGATAGCAAGGTCCATCGAGACTGTAGCTTTTCAGCATTGCTCTTGGAGGATTAACTTCCTTACATATGCATTTGTAGCTTTTCGTACTCTACACTTGGCTATCCTAGGCCAACCACATAGGGCCTAGGGGCGCTAATGCACTTTCGCACCTAACTTTTAATTTTAATTTGTTTTACCTCAACGTTCTTCTCACAGTCACAACATATTAACAAACATTTTCACCTGATTTAACCACTCACAAAGTACCTTTTTCAACAAATAAGCCCACAAATAAGTACAGCGAATCTGTGTTCGCTAGCACGTCGACGAGCGGCTGCCATTTTGCAATCATTAAGAAATTGCCAGAACTTTTAATTCTTAAAGTTTTTACCTCAATATTCTTCTCACAGTCACAACATGTAATTAACCAACATGTTCACATGATTTAACCACTCACAAAGTACCTTTTTTCAACAAATAAGCCCACAAATAAGTACAGCGAATCTGTGTTCGCTAGCACGACGAGCGGCTGCCTTTTTGCAATCAGTAAGAAATTGCCAGAATGTCTTGAGTTTGCAGCGTGAAGTTTTTTTGATTAAACGTTTATGAAAACTTATCTATTTGCCGTATTGTATGTCATTCTTTATATTGTATGGTGCTGTTGTTTGACTATGTGTGTTCACATGAAATTCACACGTACAATATTTACTTCAAAAATTAGTAATGATCCAAATGCGTACACAGATCGAAAAATAGGGCCTAGGGGCCTAGGCCTAAATCCAGAAAAACAACTATTAAAGCCAATGATAAACGTCGGTTCAATTAACCTCGATTACGACAAGAAAGTTCAAAAAGATGGTACTGCATGACGCCACATTTTGTTGTCGGATGTTTCATGGGAAAATTCCAATTAAAATTATAAGACTGGCCTTTAATGGTTTCCAAAATTTAAGCTAACTGACTCGGACATTCTGGCAATTTCTTACTTTATTGCAAAAAAAAAAGTACAGCTCGTCGTGCTAGCAAGCGCGGAAACCCTGTATCAGCCTATATTTATAAAGGTATCTTTTTGTTGAAAAAATGTATTTTATGAGTGGTTGAATCATGTGAAAATGTTTTATAATTATGTGTTGTGACTGTGAGAAGAAAATTCAAGGAAAAAAATTAAGAATTAAAAGTTAGTGCGAAAGTGCATTAGCGCCAGCCTTGGTACGTAATATGTTAGATCAGATATTAATTACATAAAATGTAGGCCGACAATCGTATTTAATGGGGGCGGAGTGGATTTCGTTTTTTTCGCGATTTACCATGGCTACTGTCGTTGTCACCTAGATTCGTAGACGCCGTTGTCCATATGATGAAGACTGTCATAGTTCATGATTAATAAAGCAGGAAAGTGCCTTTCATTTTCAGTGGATTACATTCCATTCCACCCATGGAATTACCAGTTGATGGATAGCCCAGTAATGGATAGGCCTTGTGCCAGTTCAGTGCAACATTAGTACAACTGGAAATAACATTACAGCAATTGCATTATATATGTAAACATCTATTTAAATATACATTATATATATATAATAATGAAACACTTTCAGAAGCGCCATGAGCGTCATTTTTGGCGGATACTGGCGCTATATAAATGTTCTATTCTATATAGATGTTTACAAATATAATGCTATATATATACTGTATATATATATATATATATATATATATATATACATACATATATATATACACACATACACATATACACATATACATATATATACACACATACATACATACACACACATACATACACACATGCATATATACATATATACATATATATATATACATATGCACATATACACATACACATATATATATACATATATATATACATATGTACATATATATACACATATACATACACATATACGTACACATACATATACACATATACGTACACATACATATACACATATGTACACATACATATATATATACATATACATATATATATACATATATATATACATATATATACATACATATACATATATATACATACATATACATATATATACATAATATATATACATATATATATATACATATATATACATATATATACACATATATACACATATATATACATACATATACACATACATATATACACATACATATATACACATACATATATACACATACATATACATACATACATACACATACATATACATACATATATATATATATATACACATATATATACATACATATATATACACATATATATATACATACATATATATACACATATATATATAC